TTTGTAAAGTCTAGCGATGGTCATATCACAGTTTAATAGGTTCTCTCAAAATTGTCAGTATGTATCATCGGTGTATGGTCTGGAACTGATTGTTTTTGGTGCTCACTCAACTGATTCGGTCGATTACTGTACTTCCCTCTCTTATCCTTACCTGCAGTTTGAGCTCCCTGATTTTTTTTTTGTTGACGAGTCTATTGATTCCTGCCGTGAGAGGATTGAAGACCATCAACACTCATAAATTCGATGTTGCAGAGCCTCCTTATGTGTTTCCCACCAACAGTCACGAAATATTTAACGTTAAAGTGTCTGCTAGATTCTTGTTTAATTTGTTTTTTATGATAGGAACGTTTCTTAAGTGATAATTAGGGAATCCTAGATCCCAGAATTCGTTAAATATTTTTTCATTACATTAAAATCTTCATTGCTCTGATGGAGCTATGATGGATTGAATCTCTATTGAAACTAAATTTATCATAAAAACTAAACTCATTAAAAAATTTCCAAAACTTACTTCACCACCGGAATTGTCTTCTCTAGTCTTACACTCAACAAAACATCGCATAATTACTAATGCACACTTATCTTTCTGTCGTTCAAGGCGATTAAACCCCGACAAATTTATTATAACAAAAAAAGAGTTTAAACATATGATTTCTTTAGACATTTGTCGTTCATCTTCTTCACAAGTTTCTTCTCCGTTACATATGGTACCCAAAAAGGATTCCAACGATTGACGTCTTTACTTAAAATTTTCTTCAAAATTGATCTTGTACGAGCATACCATCGGATACCTGTAGCGGAAGTACACCAGACCTAGAACTAGAAACATTCGGGTTTAGCTGTGCGTCGCTCAAAATAGCTAAACCCGAATATTTCTAGCTCTAGCGTTAGTTTTAGTTCAGTAAAAATATACAACAACCTGACGCTGAATAACAACTAAACCTAGAATGTTTCAGATTTAGTCGTGTGTCTTCAGTGCCTTCTAGATTTAACAACTGGTCTTGGAACGTTGCGTGGATCTCTAACATCACGAGTTTTTTCCACTATTTATCTTAATGTCTTCATCTCAGCCACTTGCAAAATGCTCTTAGTTTTGTGTGTGATCAATTTTATAACACATCTTAAATATTTCAACTTAAATATTTCACCAAACTGTACCTTGATACTGCTGTTTTAATTCGGTTCCTCAAGTCTTACAGGATCGGGCGGGCTATACTTGTTCAGTTTGCTTATTATAGATTACGAGTTTATATCTAACTGAATCTTTTGCACTAGTTATAGACTTGTTCGTATCAACGGAAATTGAGTTTGCGGCTTACTTAATTGAAGTGATGCAGTTGTTGTATGTCGTCTTCTATTTCAGCGATTATTATTGCATAACGCACCATGCTAACTATTGGTGCCCATCATGTACCCCGTATAAAGATTAATTAAAAATGTTATGGATCTTGTAAGTGACTTTTCTTTTATCTGTTTGATTATGAATACTGTGTCGGTTATAGATCGACCTTCTCTGAAATGTTGTTGTTTTTCAGCATTAGTTATTTGATTCTCTAGTTTTTCGTGTTTAAGAGATCAATGTGATGTACTTAGTGTTTACAGTTTCGGTTCACTTTCCTATTAAAATATTAAGAACATTTCCCTGACCATCCTTACAAGCATTTATCTCAGGTCTACAAACTTTCGTACTTTTTTTCAGTTCCCTATAGAACCCTCTACTCTCGTTTTTTGATGTGATCGTTTTTGTCTTCTTTCTACATATTCTAGACGCCATATTTCTTTTTCAGTTACAGTGCTTTCTATTTGCTCTGGTATTTTGCTGCAAACACTTTTGTCTGGCTTGTCTCTTTTCTACGATCGCGTCTACACTCTTCCTCATACCACTTCATTCCTTGTTTTTTCTTTCGATAGTCTAGCAACCTCTGATGTAACTTCGTCTGGTATTCCTCCTTTACGTTTGCAATCTCAAAGTCTCGCTGTATTTAATCTAGTAGCTGTTCGATGTTCTTAAAGATTAATAGATGGTCTGTTTGGTTGGTCCCGTATAATTCCGATATCTTTCACGTGACTTTGCAGTTATTGCTTGCTCCAAATTATGTAACTGAATTCATTATTACATAATGGCATAAACGACATTTACTTGATTTCCCAGGAAATACAAAAAACTTTTATCACGTCGTATTGAAATAGGCATTTGTGCAAACCCATATTGTAGCGATTGAAGTTTGTGTACGGTTATAACGCTTTAACTGCTGGATGCAGATTTAAAAATTCTTGTTCAACGGTGTAGCTATGTAAAAAGTGACCATTTTCAGATCGGTATGAACTTCCAATATAAATAAAATTTCAGAAACGTAGTTGCAATGGAACAAAAAAAAACGTGTTATATTATGCTATGTTACATTTAACTGTTATGTACCTTTAACCAACATAAGTAAAATCTTTTTGGTGAAAAAGGTGAACATGAAATCCTTTTTTTAAGATTATAAATAAAATGAATGATCACGCAAGGCTAAAAAAATAAAATTATAGCTTTGTGCGAAAAAAAATCAAGCAGAAACTTTGAGTTTCCGAGCTGCATTCTTTTGCACGATTTTATTTTCTGAACCTTTTACCTGGAAAATCATCGCAGACAACGAAAATAACGGTTAGAAAAGGTAATTGTATTTTTTTGTTGGTATTAGCTTGCCCATCAACTGCAGCAGCTTTATTGATTTGCTTTCTGCTACTTCAGCTCGGAATTCAGGAAGTTTTAGCATTGTTTTTCCATGAATAATCGAACATGAAGAAACCTTCTTGTTGATCTTCCAAGCAAGACATTCATCAGATTAAGTCTACCCATAGGAAGATTATACTTGTGAATCTTTATATTTTTATACATATCTTTTTTTGTTATACAATAAAAATGTTATAAAAATACGAACAATTTTGGCTTTTAAAGTTTTTGAGTGGTATCACGCCTGCGTACTTTGAAACTAAGAGAACATCTTTGTTATTGAGGCTGAAATTAAAACATCATATGCATACAAGATTTTTCATCGATCGCTTGAGAATTTGTACTTCGAACGTCTCAAAATCAGAGTTCCGAATGATTAAATCTTTAAGCTTTTAGATAAATCATTAGAGATAACGTTGTTACTAAACATCAAAATAAATCCAGAGGATTATAACCCAAAGAGCTTTACAATATCTTAATTACGTAAAGGTTTACTCATCTACATATAATCTGTAAGCTTTGGTATGGAATTAAATCATCCATTCAGCTAATCAGCAAAAGGTATACATTTCTAACATTAAGATCAAGTTATTTTTGAATCTATAAAACTAGGCAAACGAATTAGCGGAGTGAATTAGTTCTAGAGATATATTTTCAAGCTTTGAAAGTTAGTGTGTATTTTTAAAATGTTGGTCTTCTTCTTTTTTCCTCTCTCTCTAAACTGTTGGATCCGTTGTTCCTGATATCATCCTTTTTGAAATATCTCCTGAGAAGTTGACTACCAGTTGTCTCTCCATCTCTTTGGTAGTCTGGTTCCGGGCGGATTATTTGTAACCATAATTTTCGGAAGTCTGTTATCTGGCATTCTACGGATGTGGTTGTGGCAAAACCCATTGCGCTATCCACCCCATCCTACAATGTTCTGAACCTCGCATTGGTCTTTGATATCGGAGTTCTTATTTTTGTCCCATTTGGTCTTTCCTGAGATTGTCCTCAATGTCTTTGTTTGTGCCACTCTTAACATGCTCTTAGTTTTGTTTGTGTCTTCGTATGTATGAATGTCGTAAGTCATTATTGGGCGTTTGCAGGTCTTGTATATCTGCCCTTTCTTATCATGACATATTTCAAATCCATAGGCCCCTATATATTTGTTCTGCTATATAGTATCTCGTAGGTGGCCTGTAGGTTGCTGAGGATAAGCTGATATGATTGCACAGGTCCTTTGCGGGATCGTGAGTGTTTGAAATCCAAGTAGTAAAATTCTATGACTTGATCGATGGGGGTATTGTTGTCCATCAGATTACATCTTGTTGATTGCAATCAGTATAGTTGTCTTTGTAGCTCAATCTCTGAATGGGTGATTATCGCAACATCCTCAGCGTAGTATATTATGCATATTTTCTTGTGGCCAATATCATTACCATTTGAACAAATTAACGAAGCATATTTATCATTTCAATAGATTTTTCTTTTACTTATTCTTGTACCTTTTCTAAAACCTTGTTTTTTTTTTCGTTTCTTCGTTTATTCAGATAAGTATTCCAGTGTCCACAAACAAGATGTTAATTTATTGAACATGATTTCTCATCTCTTTTAGAAACGACTCTGTCACTTTTCATTTTTTCATTCAGAAGAAATTTACTTCTTCCAATCGATGTCTTCTTAGTATGAGAAAATGATTTTGTCATTCTTTGCCTTAAAAAGCTACCTGCAATTAAACATTTTTCATTAACTAATTATTTCGTCTTATTGCGATAAAAAATAAAACTCTTGTGCACATAAAATAAGAAAAATATGCTTTTTGTGAATAACTTACTACCCACTATAAATTCTACTTAAATGAAGTATTTAATTCATAATCAACGGACTTAAATATTACCTATCAGAAATATGTTAAATAAAATTTTGAGGATTATTATAATTTTGATTAAAATATAAATTAAAAATTACATCTTATCTTTTGGAAAGGTGATTAAGGCTTTAACAATAATTACAAACAATTTAAAACTTTAAATTATCTCGCACCTATTCTTTTAAAGTTAAGAGAAAAATCACTTTTACAAATACACATTTTTAATAAAATTTTTTAATATCCACTATTTATTTAAAAAAAATAAACATAAATGGTAAGTAATAATTTCAAGTGTAATGTTTTTCATGTCGTTATTTGCATGAAGATAACGATTATATTTTTATATTTTTTTAAATGATTTTTCCAAATGAAATAATACCGGTGTTATTAAAAACCACTTAAAATTTTCTCTTTGTTTTACTTGTTTTTTAGAACGTTTAAGAGCTTCTGGAAGCGCAAGTTCCAGTTCTAACGTAAGATTTTTAAAGGAGATTTCTAAAAAATGTTTTGTTAATAAATCGTTTTCTAATTTAAACAGAAAGAAACGAACCCTTTTGTTACGACTCCAAGCGGAAATCCAAACTTTCTACCACAAAAAGCTGGGAAGAACACCAACGTAAGTGCACACTAAAATGTTTTATCTAAGCGGGTTTGAACGTTGATAAAGCTTGATTTATCTAAACTTATCGACTATTTGTGTAAATATAAGATTATTTTCAATGTGGAGGTGTTCTATTAACAGTTTTTACCATTTTACGCTGTGAAAATATAAATTAAAGTCTTTAAAGAAAATGTTTTATAGGGTGATTAATTTAATTAATTTTATACAAAATTTCATAATTTATTTGTATTATTATTTTAGAATGAATCTCGAACGCCAAAACCGCCAAAGCCGCCGGAAAAACCGCTTATGCCATACATGAGATATAGTAGAAAAGTATGGGATACTGTAAAAGCTCAAAATCCAGAGTTGAAACTATGGGAAATAGGAAAAATTATCGGACAAATGTGGAGGGAGTTACCTGAAATGGGTAAAAATGAGTTTGTTGAAGAATACGAAACGGAAAAGGTAACAAAGAAAATTTTAATGGGTTATTTAATAAAAATATTTTATTGTTTTAGGGCGAATATGAAAAAACTTTGAAAGCTTATCATAATTCTCCGGCGTATTTGGCGTATATTGCTGCTAAAAATCGAGGTAAGAAATTAATTTATATAATTTAATTTAAAAAATATCATAGTAATAATAATAAATTATAGAATGCATACGAAATTAATCTTAAATTTCAGTTATAAATTGAAATTTAATTTATTTGTTATTGATATGAAAATTAATAAGTAGTTAATAAGTAAAGTTTCTTCTTAAAGAATATCATCAGCCACCATAACATTGCAGATCAATGATCATGTTGTTGTCAAAATCCAAACAGAATAGAGTGCAATGTACTGTTATCTATGGTAAACATTGTTAATTGATTATTTAGGATTCTTTCCTGTACCATTATCACATCAAATCTTATAGTTTGGAGACACGAGAAATCTTTTTGTTCTTCTTGGTTGAAAAACTTGGTTGTCAATTATTTAGTTTCATTTTGAGTCTTTTATAATTTTCTATCTTACCATCTTCGATAGACTGGACTTATGTTATCATTTAGTGGATATGTGGGGTGTTGGATATATGTATATTTTTTATTTGGACTAGTGGTGGAATAGCGGATAGTTACCAAATATAAAAAACCTATTAGTTAGTACTCCACCATTCACAGGAATTAGTATTTTCTTTAGGTGTTGGACACTGCAGATAATCATCAAGTTCAACCCCAATAGGACTTTTTTCATTGAATACAACTTTATTTATCATTAGCAGCCTCATTGTAACAATCCCAATACGATACATAAAATCTCTTGTTGCAGTTTCGTCTAGTTTCCTTCTCTTCGCTTGTAATTCATCATCACATTCATTACTAACAGAACTGTCGCTGTTATCACTTTCGATTATTAATTAAAGTATTCCCTTCTTAATGATGCAACAAGCCGTTTTGAAAAATCGCTTTTAGTTTTTGAGAAATAAATTCTTGAAATAATCGACAATTTGTGTTCTCTTTCCAATGAACCAACCCGTTTTGAAAAATACCTTTTAGTTTTTGAGAAAACAATATTTGAAGTTTTGATAAAATTTTCGATGTTGCAATTTTCATCGATAACTTTCAAAATTCGCTATAAAATT